GTTTCAGGACAAAGTTATTGGGAAATTTTTCTTTCAAGGGAATTACCTTAAAATGACCATAYATACACATTAATTGCGAACATGGACTTTTATACTTTGATAGTTAAGTTTGTACATCAATGCCATGTGCCATCCTAATAAGGATGAMATCTTTAGATAAAGATTTTATTCTTATTAGCATTCTTTATATAAAGAATGCTAATGAAGAGGACTTTGTCTGGTGTAAAGGTCCATGCACGTGACGTGTATGGTCGCTCCAATTATATCAAAGCTTTTGAATACCAGTTACTATTTACTTACCCAATCCTTAAAGGAATCTGTGAAATTTGGTTAATCACGCATCCAAGTTCGACCACTTTCTCTTCAGCATTTTCTTCTATTTCTCTGCTATATTCTTCCTCAAACTGTGCTGTAGATTAAAAAAGAAGAGAGAAAAAAGAATTTAACTCGGTAGAATTTTTTTTATAATTAATTTAATCGTTTTAATGAAGGAGGAGAGAGACATTGAGATTGTAGTGACGTGGTGGTAATTGTGATGGCGATGATGTCGGCGATGATAATGATATTGACGACAATGATACGGCGATGATGATAAAGATGATGATGTCGATTGTTTTGATGATGTTGATCTGATGATGATGATGATGATAATGATGATGATGATGATAATGGTGATGATGACGTCGCCGGATGTYGTTGATGGTGATGGTGATGATATTGATAAAGGCGATGGTGATAATGATGATGAAGATATTTCAAAACGCTGTGCAATTGCGTTATTACAACATAGAATTTATCAACCACGTGTTAATTGACCTTCCAAAAGTATTCACGTCTAATATACGAGAAAAGGCAGAATAATATCAGGATTGACTCAATAATAGAACTTCATTTAAAATATTTTTTAATTATTTCTATTAAAGAGAAATTTAAAAACTAGTTAAATGCAATAGTATGGACAATTTTGGTTATGAGGAACTTGCCAGTAAAAACAGTTACATGATACTGAACACTCGAAAACGTTTGTTTCATTAATTATGCTTTGTGAAGAATCTGAAATAGGGATGAAAGAAGAAATATAATTTCCGCTCCAAGCAATAATCTCCTAGATACTCGC